TGTTTGCTGTGTTTTGTTCCGTTCACTCTGTCAGTTAATAATTATTGCTACCTGTCACATAAAACTGAGATAAGAATAATATTGCATTAATGACAAATAAAAAAAACATAGTCTCACAGCCTAAATTGCGATTAATCTGTTTCCATGAATTAAGCAGCATCATGCATAACCAATTTTCTGCCCTGGACAACTTATAAAAGCCCAATTGTCGCAGTTCCGAGTTGTTCGCTTTACGCCATTAAATACAGTAGCCCTCTCTTTGTTTCCAAGAACATTTGCCGGAAATAAACTGCACCACCAGATGTCGGCCAAGCAACGTCACTAGTAAATTTTATAGGCCCCTAATTTGCTACAAATGTCATAGGTGAGACTTGATATGAATCAAATTGTATAGATATACCAGCCATGTTTGTTCTTTGCATCTGTATTGCAAACAAACATATCAGCAAATGCACCTATAGGTCTCAGTCTGTATTTGTTCGTTATACTGTGTACAATAGTTAAGTAGCTGTAGTCACCATAGGAGAGAACACACGATGGATAAATTAGTTAGTGCAATCATCGAAGCGAATACAGGTGATCGTTTAGCTCAAATAGCGCATTGCCGAGTTAGCCAACACATAACTAAAAGTATTGGATTTGGAGAGGAAAAAATACACATTTATCAAGTCGGAAGTTTTAGTGAAGGAATGAACAACTACGGTGATCTTGACCTTATGACGATGTTCTCAACATTTCCAGTTGTGTTATGGCCATCTCAATCGAAAGGAGAAAATCAAAACGGGAGTTTTGTAATTGCTGAGCAGAATTTAGAAGAACCAGCGTTTCTGAAACTTAGGGCAGTTGACAGATCGTGTATACATGAGAATCTCAGAAACGCAATTGATAGGAATGGGTATTTGAGGTCCACCACTTTCATTACATGTATGATGCTTAGAGATAATGAAAAAATTATCCCAGATACAGGTCTTAGTAAATTTAATTTACAAGGTCCCTCACTACAAGGTGCATTAAACTTGAAGAATCACGATTACGTCTACTGCTGGAAATGTCAATCATGGCCGCCATCTATCACTTGTGAATATTTCAATAGAAAAAGACCGAACCAGTGGCCTCCACAGAAGTTGTTAAACGAGATCTCACTTCTCGATTGTCATGTAGTCGCCATTGGACATCCCAGTAGCGCTTCAAAACACATTGAATGGAGATTGTCGTTTTCCTTAGCTGAGAAAGAACTCATTCATAAAATGGATGAGCCGTTCGCTAACTGCATGTATGCCCTAAAATGTGTAAAAAATGAGTTCATCGTATACAGTGATTCTGACAAACCAACACCGTTCTGCTCGTATTTCATGAAGACCGCTTGTTTGTGGACGTATGAAACTTTACCAAACAAAGATTACAGCGTCATAAATCTAATTAGAAGAGTACTGGATTGGCTTATCGATAGCTACAAAAACAAAAACTTGCCTCATTATTTTATTCCGGAGCAAAATTTGATTGGTCATCTAACAGTGGAACGTTGTGATGACGTGAGAGCCAAATTGACAGCGGTTAAGAGAGATATCTGGACTTTGGTGATGAAAAGTGTTGATAAAAATCAGTATATAAATCGTGTACTACGCCTATTCAGTGAACTTAATATTCCGAGAGGTAGTGGAGATGACAACTATAAAACTGTGAAATCCATTCTTTTGAATCACCCAATAGCAACAGAGATTCTTGAACAGTGTATTTATGACATACGCACTGGTGACAACATACAAAGCCAATTTCAAACCATGCGACGTGTAGTATGGGCAGGAACACGTTTTCAAAACATATTTTCTCAAGTTGACTTACTTATCAAACTGAGAGCTTTCTCGGAAATTCTTAGATCTCCCGAAGGAATCATACTCCCTATTGTAGAAAATATTGACGAAATAGTTCCTGAGGGATATGGAAACATGTTTAAGACGCGTTTGTATAGAGTTTTGGGTGATATGTATATGTATATATTGATTTACTTTCGCAAAATTGGTTATCATGATTATCCGGCTTTCTACAAGGATAAACCCTTACAATACTATACATTAGGTGCTAAAATGATGTACTTAAGTAAATGGTCTGATAGATGCATAGGTAGTCGAGCTCTTAAAGTACAATATCATTATTTAATGGGTAATTATGAAACACTCAAAAAAATTGTAGACTGGAAACCCGTACTCAGTAAACTTAAAGAAAATGACTTTTTAATTAATTCAGTTTGTCCTATAAATATCAATATAGATTCCGTCATAGTACTAAGTGCCTGGGGCATTGATGAAAAACTGCAGCAACGTCTTAAACGCACTGTTGGATGTAGACCAGTGAATCCGATCGTATTTATCTTTTATGTAATGGCTAGAGTACATCTCAGAGAGGGAGATCTGGAGAAGGCCACTGCGGTTGTGAAAGAAATGAAGGGTTGCCTTAAGATTCTATACCGATACGCCGAGATAACAAAGTCAATGATTGAATTGATAGAAATTGAAATACTAGAGTTAAGAAGAATCTTATACTTTTCGAATGCATTAACACCAATTGAGAGGCCCGCCCTTGCTCATATCTTATATCCATCAACATAGTGACTGTGACTACAAATATTAGGCCTACATCGTTCAATTATACAATTATAATTGTGTTTTAATTTATTTCAAATTCTAATTACGGTAAAACAGTTAATCAATATTGAGATTTCACTTTTGTTGTTGCCACATTATCGCAGGACTGTTCTATTTGAGTTCCATAAGTTGTGTCAAGTCTGTATATATTGTAACTTTGTTTTCTATAACAAACAGAAATCGTATTTATTGTAGAGTATTCCGATATCACTTAACCAGTAGTTACAAAACACTTGCTAGTTTGATTGGGATTGGAAATATAAATCTTAAGCCGGGCACTCACTGCGCCCGACGAGATTCTATGAAGAACGCAAAGCGACGACGGGCGCGCACCGATCTTTATTAATGACGATCTGTTCAGACTGCCACCGGTAACGCCTATCTGACCTGTTGACGTTTAATAATCAGTGAGAAATCGACTATTTAACACAGTTCAGATGATGTTTGTAAATAATTTTATTCTTGAAGTTTACGATGCAATAATAATGTGAATGGATTAGAACAGTTTGTCAAACTAAGTTGATTTGAGGTGATTTTTAACCCGGTCCCCTTTCATGAGCACCCACTAGATACGCCACTGTTTATAACTTGATAGAGGTGGGTTGATCCATTTGGGTTCATCTGTGGCATATTCGTAGGTAATAAAAGTAAAAGACAAAGTGGTCCAGTGCAGTTTCGACGGCCCTGAAGATATGACTTTTTTATGGGGTGACTGGTAGGCCTAATATTCGTTTGTATACCGAAAATACCAGTCTAGTGCACTCAGTGTATATTAATACCTGTCTCTTATACACATCTAGATGTGTATAAGAGACAGAACACACTCATTATGCATGGCAGTGTTTTATAAACTATGATTTCTGCGCCATTTCAACAACTAAATTACAATGTGGTGTATTTTAACACAATCACATCTGACATTGCTGACAAGGCGAGCGTCATAACCACTAGACCACGAAGGCTTCATGATTGAACAGGTCCAAATAACCGTCGGGAACATTGTATTACACAATGCCTCAAGATGGCGTTCGACCAGATAAATCTGGCAATACGGCTAGAAATACTGTCGTATATTATAAATGATATTGAAGGGAGTTAGCCGTTAACACTGTTGAATAAATATAATATAAATCATCAAAGGTACATATACAGTGTTTAAAGAAGGACATGATGGAACATCGTAGGCTACCCTGTAGCTTTTCAACGAATAAAGTCCTATAAAAGTGGATATTCATATATATGAATATATGAATGGAAAGATTATGATTAGTAGATTCTCATCATGTAAATATAATTAGGTTTGCAGTTATAATTTTGCTTCCCTCAAAATTTACATGTTACAGTGAAATGAATGCAAGCAAAGATACTAGAAATACAAGATAGAGTTCTCCACACAAAAAAAGTGCTCCACCGAAATGCATGGTGGGAATACCATAGAGCTATTAAACATACCTCTATGGGGAATACAAACAATGGGACGCCCCCTACAGTTGGATCTAAAAAAACTTCTGCCAAACTTTCAATGTCAATAATAATGAGTTGTGTTACATCCTTGCCTAGTTTTAATTAACTTCTTTATATAATTATATAATATAATATTTTGTAGTTATCATTTTCATGACCTTAAGTTTTACTCAACATTTTCTAGGAAAGTACTGTTTCCTTATTTTAATTTGTTTTACTTTGTAAAGCTCATAAATATTATTATCCTACAGTATGCTATTGTCCTATGACACACAAGTTCCTTTACCCGTG